TGTGAAGTCCTCCTGTGTAGGCCTGTTCAGTTTTCTACAAACAAGCTTTTGCTCCATTGCCTGCTTATATTTCTGGCAATCCCCTTCCGATTTCGATTTATGTCGTTTGATTTCATATCTCCCCTTTTTATCACTGGCTGTACTTCATCATTCCGTCTCCTTTTTATGCAACCAGCATTTTCACCATGTAGTGGGCACCAATTTTTGAGGCTAACCGATTGCTCTGATCTTTACTGTAACTGTGATAGACTTGTTACCAGCGCGTTTCTGGTCATGGCGTTATTTTTTGATTTCCATCATTTGTTGCGCTGTATGTCACTGATTCTTTTCCTTCGATTATCAACTGGCGCTTTGAAATCGAGAAGTAGTGTGTTGAGGTATGCAGCTTACTTCTGTGAAGCTTCGCAGTCCCTTACATTCTTGGGTCCACTTGCCTGAAGTCTATCTATGTTCTTCGTCCTCATTCAAATACATCGAGCTTTTCCCAGGATGCATCCTTTCCTCCTTGCATCCGACTCACGGTGCGTGGGTAGTAACAGTCCGAAAGATCCTTATTCTAGCGTCAAACTTTAGGCTCATAATTCGGTCGTTTAGTCGTTTAACTCACTATTGTGCTTTTCAGGGTTTCAGAGACAGCTCTCGACAGCATTCTCATTAGTGCTTGCAGCAACGTAGAGTAGCTTATACCATCTCCGATGCCGCATGACTTTCTATCATTTTATTTCCTGTAAGCACTCTACAATCACTCGTCTTTTTAGGATTATTGATGTCGTCCAGTGAAGGTCCCCACAATAATTGTGGCTAGTCAGAGTTCTAAGCTCTCGGATGGTTGCCTTGGCCAAGCTAGTTTTCCTACCCTTCTCCATTCAGCTTGTTGCAAGCCCTTTTCAAGGAAAGGGCAGTCTGGTGACAAAATAGAAGGCAATGACCCAGAGAGAATCGAACCGATGACTTCATCGAAATGAAGTAGATATCGAAGATCTTCAACCACTTGGCTAATTCTGTCTTGCAACAAAAATGTTTTGGCAAATTAGAAGAATTTTGCTGAATCCTCCTTTAATTACAGCAGTAATGGGGATCAAATGCCACTTTTTCAGAGGAAAAAATAAGCTCACTTGTCTATGAATCCTATGTTGTCATATTGCGTAGTCCACCGGTTGAACACTTTTGTACAAAAAAATCCCAGCACCAACTCAAGAGGAATATAATCCAATCGTTCATCAAAAAAACGAACGATTCCTTCGAAGATCCTGCAGTGAAGGGTTTTTAAGAAGTGCCAAAGCTGAAACTACTTACTTTTGTTGATCGGAATCAAGCACATATCGATAGACAGCTGCAAGTGCGCCATAAACGATGAGGAAACATAGTAACTCCAAATATATTGCCTTCCAGATACTTGCTTTCCATGTGAAAAGTAGCCTCAGAAATGTCCACGGTTTCGAGTTTGAGATGACGCGGTGGTAGTTTAAAGTCATTGATCTCTAAAGAATGCGGCTTATAAATCATATTTATTTTACAAAGCATGAATGTTGGATTGCGCTAACATTGAACGCACCGATAGTGTATCCCATTTGGGAAAAAAGTAAGGAAATTGCCTTTTTTTCAAAGCTTGTATCGAACAAAAGAGTTAAGGAACAGAAATGTTCTGATGCGCTACGGGATTGGAGGGAACTTTCCTATGTGTCCACCCCTCATATCCTTCCTTATTGCAGGGTAGCAATGTAGATTTTAAAATGTTTTTTTT